TAAATTTGTATTACACAATGAACATGAAAGATCACATTTATAACAGTCCAACCCATTTCTGTAATAACCTTCAGCGCATTTTGCACATCCACCAGATGATATAAATTGTGTGCAAATTCCCACCAATTCAGAATTTGTTTTGCAAATATTATTTGAAATGTAAAATCCTGGTGGACATGAAAGACAATAAGTCGGAGTTATGACACAAGTCAAACAATTTGAATCGCATCTTTCACATCTGTTGGATGATGAATTAAAATAATAAGCGTCTTTACATCGCAAACAAGAAACCAAACTCTGGTTTGTGCATTGTATATCGTCATTTGTAAGACATTTAGTATTGTTTAAAATTAAACTATTATTACACGCTAAACACTTTGAATTTGTGATGAAAGTGCAGTTGTCATAAAATTTAGAACATCTTCCGTTTTCATCATTTGGTTCAGAACAGTTATTGTGTTCACATTGTCCAGATTTATTCATTTCAAATTCAATTTCACATTTTGTGGGACGACCATTTTCACACACTTCACTTGATTTGTAGAGATCCGAGCACTTTTGACAAATGTTGGAATTTGTTATATACCCACTTTTACAAGCAATTATATTATTTTGATTTGTGTATAACAAGTGTTCATCGGCAATTTCACATTTACTGTTGTTAAAATTAAACGTTTTTAAACTGCAAATTTGACATGTACCATTTAAATTTTGAATCAGACAAGATGATGTATTTTGACAGTGACCTTCAGAAAGTAAATACCCATTTGAACATTTTAGACATCGATTTGATCGTTTCAACAAACAGTTCGGTATTTCAACGCATTTACTGTCATTGGTAATATAATATTCCTGTTGACATCTTAAACATTTTTTTGAATTGTAAGAACAGTCAATACAATTTGAATCCAAACAATTGTCACATTGTTGTGTTGTTGTGTTGAAATGACCTCCATTTTTACACATTGGATTTATAATAAATTTGGTACCATTTTCACTTGAGTAAATTGATTTCGATACAACATGTTGAAATACAAAACTTTGATTTGAAACCATTAGAACAGTTTTTGTTAGAGATGAAATGTTTGTGATCAACTTATCAATCTGTGAATTTACACTAAGAATAAAGTTGTCTGTCTTAAAAAAGGAGACTTTTTTGTTTCCAATGGCAACACTTTCAATGTCAAGTTCTTCTTCGACTTCGTCGTATTTTTGATGTGCATTTGTTGATTTATCAACGATTAAATTTAAAGAGGTTATATTTTTGGGTGGGGTGATATAACAATTAACTGAATCACAAGGACAGTATGGCTCACTATAATCACCATTTATGTTATTCAAATGGCAAAACACTTTGTTTGAAGTTCCAATTCTTAACAAACGATTCCCCATGAGCAGTTTTGTGTTTTGTGGCAATGTCGTTTGAATTGGATTTACAGAAAATGCTAAATTGACTTCTGACAAACTTTGAAAGGAAAATTTGGTTGAATTAATTTGATAAGTAAAAAAGATTGGCAAATCTCTGATTGTTCTATC